TGGTTGTGGTTGTGCGTGCGGTGTAACAACCAACCCAATACAGGTTTGTGTAATGGCCGCAATCACTGCACAACCACAACCGCCAACTGGCCGAATGGCCTTATTGGCTTGGCTGGCTTACACTGGGGAACGTAGCAGACGCTCTTTAGCTACTTTTGATTGTTATGGCTACGTACACATGTACACTTGTGTGTTGGCATGCTGTACGGCAAGTCCTTTAATATGTGCTTAGATTTCGCTTACACTGACTTGTAAGTATGGATTTGTGTATGCGATGTGGAGCAAATCATACGCATGCATACTAGCTTGTTGGACATACACACATCCACATGTACATACATATTTACTATTGTTGCCAATTCCGTGTTGTGTGTTTACATTTACCATGTGATTTTTTCTCGTCTTCGCTGCTTATTGTGGCAGCTTAGAAAATGGTCTGTAGTATCGGTTGATTGAGTGGTTTACTGGTCTATTACATACATATGTACGTCCGCGCCAGTCAACTAGCCAGTTAGTCGGTTGTGGGCAGCTGACCTCTTATTGCTGAGTTGGAAGTCAATTGAATTGCTTCGATTAGCTTTCTCAGCACTCAGTTCGTTGCGTTGCCCACTTAGTTTCACTACATTGTGCCTTTGATCACACTGACATGGACGGAGCATAATAACGCCAACGCAGGCTTTGTGTTCACTTCGGCTGTATGTAATGTGTTTAGTCGTATGCCATTTCGCCTATGTCACAGCGCTTGGGATATGTGCGTGGGTGTGTATGGTTTGTGTTTTTGTATGCGTGTTGGATTAGAGAAGAAATTGATATTTTGGTCGGTGGCGAGTTTTGAACTTCCAGTCAGACTTTTATGGCAGTGTTGCTTTGATTGGTCGTTATGCTCGTCTAATGTTGGCAATTTGGCGGGATTAAGTGCGGAAAGTGTTTTGGATTTTCGGTGTTTGTTGAGTTAATTCTGTTTTTAGGTACTTCGTAATTTTTTTTTTGTTTATTTTTATCAGAAGGGGTATAAAAATGAATTTTGTTCATTTGGAGAGATTAAACAAGTTTTGATTAACTAAATTCGATCAAGATGTTCATTCGCAGCGAAGATGTTGGGATGTTCTTAAAAAAAAAAGCAATCTGTCATGTAGATATCCATTATAGACACTAATGTTACCTGACTAAAGCCTTAGAACTGCTCCAGAATTTATGCTTCTGGACACAAGTTAAGGCAAACAAAGCCACGGACATCAATTCAGTAAATATTAAAAAAGTAAGTGCGCCTGGACCACAGGGGAGAAGCGAAACTTACGTTACATAGCTAATTTGTACATACATCTGCTTTTGCTTAAGGTTATATTTTTTGTCTTTTTGCTATCTAGATCCCTACTCTACACCTGTTCCTTCGAATTACATTTATGTTATTTAGTTTCCTTTATTTTAATTTTAATTTTTTTTTAATTTTAATTTTTACCCTTATACTCTATCAAAACAAATTCTATAGTAGCATCCATCAAAATATCGATAGCAAAACCGATAAAAATATCGATACCAAAATCGATAATAATATTGGTAGCAAAATCGATTAGAAAAATCGATAAATATATCGACAACAAATTCGATAAAAATATCGAAAACAAAATCGATAAAAATATCGATAACAAAATCGATAAATAAGCGCCAAATTCGATAAAAATATCGATATGTTCGGAAAATATCTATGGAAAGATCGATAACAATATCGATAAAAATTTCGACAATAAAATCGATAACAAAACCGATACAAATATTGATTATTATATCGATATGTTCCAAAAATTCCGTACTATGTACGTACTCACCTTTACTTTCATTCTTGTATTGGTCTTTTTCTAAGTGTTATTCTTTAACCTTTTATTAATTAGCAAGTTTATGTTAAATTAATAACATAGATTCAAGAAGCACTTGCTTCCGTCCCAACCATTTCCGTTGCGCCATTACTCCCAACCAATCAACCGACCGCTAAATAAGTTTCACTACAAAAATTAAGCTCAATTGAGTGCATTTCTACTTTACTTTATTTACTATTTAGTGATATGAATAAAGGTATATTAGATATTAGTTGGTTAAAGTATACTATTTGCATGTGCCTATGGTGTTTTTTCAGCATTGAGTAAGTTTTATGCATTCTAAATTTATTTATTTTTATATCTACTAACGCCTCACTCCGTGGTTATTGGACAAATTCAATTTGCTCAAATTGTATACAATTAGCTCCAGCACAAAGACTATGCTAGCAATTAAACAACCAAAGAGCAGAGCGAACGCAGGACCCGAAATATTTTCCAAAGTCAATTTTTGTGGCGGTAATTTGTTAATATGTCCAGATGCTAAATTCATAATGATTTCCTGTGTTTTACGATCCAAATATTTGGGTGTCACCTAGAGTTAAGACAGTTTCGTTATCAATTAAAATGATTAAGTATTTAGTGCCAAATATCTACTTAATTTTCTCTAATCTTACCTGCCTTTCCCAGTACACATAAAGACCCGCCTCTAGAAAGGCGAGTAAGTGTTTATCGAAGAGTGGCATTAACGGCCAACCTTTTATGGCTACGGCACGTGTCCAATCGAAATACAAATCATCCTTCGTCACCTAAAATTGTAACAAAATCCAAACAAATTTCGAATCTGAAATACCAAATAAGTAAAAAAAAAAAAACAAAATGTACGCACAATCCTCGTTTCCAGCGCAGGTATAGTTATATATTTTCCGAAAGTGAAAGCGCCACTCATTAGGCGCTCGATGCCCAGTCCATAATCGGAACGAAAGCTAGCATTGTAGAGAAAATCATAGTCATGCACAACGAATTTCTTGGCCATTACTCGTTCTTTCTCAATATTTGAATTTTCCACTGATTGTATCCAAATAATGGATGGTGTACTCCAAGGCCAATCGGTTTTAGACCATTTCTCTATAGTATCAACAGCCTCGGAGAAAAGCGGTACAGTTAGTATGGATTTTAATTGACCGCTGTAGGTATTCTCCAATGTGATGGTGGCACAGAGAATAGTCGCCAGAAAGAAGCGACCGGCGAATGTGCGTAAACTATAGGAAAGTAAAAAAGAATTAGTGCTCAGATTACATTTATGCCAACAAAATATGTACTACGAATACTACGACATCGTCAACTAACGAAAGATTTATCGTCTGCAGCCACCATAGCTGAGTGTACTAACACCAAGTGGGATCTAGGTTCGATGCTAAGGAAAATAAACGTATTTTTGAAATTTGGCTTGTACGGAATTTTTTTTATAATTGCACGTATGTAGGTTACTTCTATGCACTTGACTTGTAAACAGTTTTCGATACAAGGCTTGGCTGTTCGAAGGTAGAGCGCCGCCAAACCGCAGTCCACTGTGAACCAACGTGACCGTGAGGACCATGCGCACATCTGCAGAGTGTCGGCATAGTAGCACCGACGTCGCACATCAGCAGAGCACGGACCCTGGGCACGGCGAGTATGACCCAGCATAGAAACAGAGAAACAGGGAAAAACGCTTCGTTACAATTGGCGTCTGAGATATATCGAGTTTAAGAGAAAATTTCGCACAAATTAGCCGCTGTAAAAAATTTGGTTTTGTGGCTTTCTCGACATGAAGGCATCGGTAAAAACTTGGTTAACATTAACTGTAAATGTATTTTTGAGTAAGCTATCGATCACAATTGGTTAAAAATCACTCAAATTCACCTCAATTTAATGTTTTTGTGCGCTGCTTGTTATTGTCGCCCAGCTACTTCGCTAATTGCCAAATTTTGCGGGAGAAGAATAAAGTTGGTGTCAGATAAAATGCTTGCTTCGCTTTGCGTGACAATTCGCTTCGACAGATATGTTGAATTGTATGAAAATGCACTAAGCATGCCACATAGATCGTTGCAGCTGCAGCGCAAAGCGATACCTTTTTCGTCTGGCGCTTTGCTAGCAAAGTTATAAATGTCACGCAAAGCCACAAAGTTTTATCTGACATCAGCTTAATGGACCTTCGCATTGCGTAACCTCTTATAAATAAACCTTGTGTATTGGTGTATATTTTAGTGTGTTAGTGAAGAGGTCAAGAAAAAAGTCCTATTCTGGTAGGGATATGGGAAAATCTCCGGAATCGTGTGCTTTTGTGTCACTCATCTTTAAATTAATTTTATTTATGTAATTTTACTTCTTATACAAAACTTTGGCCAGTGCGGTTAACGAATTTTTAAATATATATACTCAAAAGTGATATTTTCCATGGATCTTAAGTGAAAATTACCAAATTTGATACAAAAACTGTTATGACAATTTTTGAAATCGCACAAAATAATGCCCTCTAGAAGTATAGCTAACTTCGAGTTTTTAAAAGTTATCATGTTTTTACTTACAACTCGTTAAGCATTTGAGAAAAATTAATCACACAAAAGATACAAAAAAATAACATAATTATAGGAGGGGGAAAAAAGGTAAATTTCCCGTGTAGTAATAGATTAAAATTCTAACTAACGATAATTACAACTGCTTACCTTGTAGGTCCCGATGGTTGTTGTATAAATACCGCAAACATATCCAATAATGCGTGACCAAATGCACTTTTATGGGGAAAATTCCGCACTTGATTCTTTCGTCGATTTTTCATTGTGAAAGAAATAAGTCGTACGGAATACATAACAAAGGCGCAAAGTAGAATGGTAAACATTATGAAAATCCAAAGACTGCTACTAAATGGGATTATGTTAGCACGCCATGCCGGGAATAGACTGAAATGGGATATGCGCTAGGTTTGTATTGACTTTTAATTGAGTTTCTATTACTATTTATACGGGTTATGTGATTTTGAGCTTATTTGAGCCGTTTATTTGGAAAGTGGCATAAGTCACTTTACACCTTTTGTGCGTAAATGATCGACTACTTTTAACCGAATATTTACCTCTATAAATCGCTCTGTCATAAACTAACGACAAAACCTTCTACCTTTGGTTGATGAACTTGAACGAATAACCGACGCGTCCATTCAAGTGCAATAGGTGTGAAGTAGTGACTTATGCCACTTTCAAAATAAACGACTCATTTATATTATTACACTTACGCTGGCGCTGGTCCCAATACGGCAACCGAAGATCGCGCTATTGTGTATGAAACTTCAGTGATGCTATTGTACCAGTTATAAATGCAACCGATAGCCACTTCGAAGTCCTGTACATAGAGGTCCCCCAACATACCCACTGAGCTTTGGTTCTCATAAATGTAACCCCAGTTATCAGCGCCATCTGAAGAAGATATGGATTTCATGGAAAAAGTAAATTAAAACTATTTAAATTTGGCTGGTTAGAGATCCTAACTCTAAAAAGGAAAAGAAGTCTGGTATGAAGTTCATGTCGTGCATAAGGAGTATAAGATTAAAAATGAAGCTCTTATAGAGACTTCTGAACTACCGATAACATAAAGGTGCCATGTTGTGTAGGGTACTTCAAAATCACCCAACGATAGGGCTTGACTCCATCTGGCATTCTGATGCATCTTATACTACATAGCAGCTGTTAAACGCTTGCAACACTATTTGCCAACTTGTTTTCCAGATAACAGGCTATTTTTTGACTTAGGCAAGGATATGGAGGGGGATAGCACGGCGCGAAGAGCTGGTGCATATCATCACGGCCGGTAACTGAGGCGCCAGTGAGGTTTTCCTAGTCTTGTTTGACGACTTTAAGTCACTTTACCAAGCTAAAGCATGGGTGATTTAAATTTATAGGAGCTCTAATGAGAGGTTTTAAGGCCTGCCTATTATTTGGCCATACTTTTACTCTTTGATGGAAAGTTACTATGGCCTTCGTTCCAAAGCCCGGGAAGGGTGATAATGCGCCAGCAAAGAGCTTAAGGCAAACCAATACGATGTCCTGCATAATCAAGAGACTGAAGAGCACTGTCAAAAGTATATTACTTCAAAGGTGTTGGTAGACAGTTCCTTTAGTACTCCCCAACACTTCTGGAAGTATCTTCTGATTTTGATGGGAGGTCAGTGTTAGGCAGAGAGAATCCTAAATAAAATTGATGTGCGACACAGGCTGCTGTAGTAAGGTGGCGTAGAACTATGCCCAAAATCCAATCTCTATGTGTTAAACAAGCTACAAAGAAAAGCTGATTTTAATTAATTCAGTGGGATTTGCTGCCACTGGATTTCGGTATCCAAGTGGAAGTAATGACTGTGGTATGAAAACCAGAATTACGGGCACAGATAGTTGTTAAAGTGGATGTCGAAGCAACATTCTTGAACGCTGGTGTCCTTTTTTCGAAGAAGCTGCTATGTTAGCTTTCCTATAAGAGAGCAATGGAAAGATTCGGACACTCTTTCGGGAGCTCGGTAAGAACAGTCAATATCGACGGCTTCTAGGATGAAAATGGAATTTTACCTGGATGGTACAGGTCAAAAAATGGCGTGGACTTCAAATCAGCATATGTAGTGTATTCTTTTTTGAAATATGAGAGTTTTCTTCTTCTTCTTGGCCTTCGTCAGACTGAGATGGTTGAGAACGGATGTGCTACGTTCTCTTTAACTTGAAAATCTACAAATTTTGGCTTGCCAAAACTAAAACAAAAAGCAAACTTAAACTATTTTCCTCTTATAATAGCTTGTTAATTGCTACGAGTTTATGAGTTAAAAATAATACCTTTATTACAATTTGTACTTACATGGTCTTACGCGCAGATGACAATTCCGAAAATCGCAAAAGGTTGTTAATATTTCGGCTTCAGAGCCTATGAATAATACTGTGCGATTGAATTCGTTCGAATCTAAAGCGTCGACATTGCCGGTACCAGGTGGCTAATAAACAAGAATTTTCACAGTCTGATTAGAAAATACAGATATCTGTGTCCTAAAAACATACATACATGTGTATATGTAGGATCATTAGACCGTATAAAAATAAAAAATAAATAAAATCAGTAGTAAGAAACTTAAAACGATCCAACTAACTTGAATACCCAAAAGATGTACTTTAATTGCATATTAATTTGTTATTACGATGGAAAATGTGAAAGTTTGCAGAAACGACCATTAGGCAGCATTTTTTGGATGATGAATTCCGCGAAGGTTGGCCATTAACTGCTGTTGTTGCTGAAAACATTAAAGCTGCATCTGAAAACGGTTATGGATAGTATCGTAATACGTGGGTGAAATAGGTTCAAGACATACATATGAGGACAAAACAAACCAACAGTCCACTGTCTAGGTGTCTGAAACCGATCCCAGTTAAAGTGATTCACTTACGGAGCAGTTTAAAACAAAATAATTATCTCTTTTTTCTTCTATAAAACTAGGCCAGTTGCTATTGTTGCTCTTAGGGTACGTTCACATAGAAAGTTTTTAAATTGCTGAAGTTATATGAAAGTGTTCATACACCAAGCTTTTTGCCGCGTTTCATTGACGGTAATTTTTGGGGTATCTTTCCAGCCTTTCCTTTCGAAGAAAAGTTAATTCAGAATTGTACACAATAATTTGCTTGTCCGAAGTTATTCTTCACCACGACAATGCTGCCTCTCACATAGTACACGCAACAGTTGAATATTGAAGGGAGAAAAAGTCAAAATAATCACTTGTTGTCCATATTCACCTGATCTATCACCTAATGATTACTTTCTGTTTCCGTTTGTTAAGGACAAAATGCGCGGTTCGCGCTTTTCAACATCTGGAGAGGCCGGTTGAGGTATTCAGAAACCATGTTTCGACAACTGGCTTTTTCATAAGCGAAAGTGTGTAGATCTCAAATGCGAATATATTGAAAGACAATAAGTCTTTTTACTTAACTTGCTCTATACGTATGTATGTATGTAGTTATGTTTGTTAGATCGCAAATCTTGCAATCAAATATAATTTTTTCTATGTTTTTCAGGGGATTTTCAGGGGTAACCCTCGTATTATATGTGTGTAGTGGTGAACTCTTACAAAATTATTAGTAGTTGGCTGTTGCTTAATGAAAATGGGTTAAGATTATTCTTGCAGAAAATTTATAATTTGACATGGGGATTATTTTTCTGACACATGTGATTACGTTTCTAACAAAAAATTACGCCTTCTGATTGCCCGTTTCTCTTTTCGTGTTCGATTCTAAATTAAAGGCAAAAGGTGAGAAAATTTTGTGTTCGTTTCTTAAAATGTCACACTCTGGCAAGGCAAAAAAAAGCAAACTCTCTGCCCTTTGAAGCTTTGTCCGGGGTGATGGTTGCCCTTAAAATCAGTTGGTGCCTTAAAACGACAATATTATGAAATGTGTGAGCTAGACAAAGGCAAGAGGGCAAAAACATGCTCTTTTACAGGGTTGAGTGTAACATCAAACACAGTTTGCACCGGGGAAGGGCAACATATTTTTGAAGAAATGAAATCATCAATATCAATAATAATATTCAGACAAATGAATTTGCTTGAAAAGTTTATGATACATATAAATAGTTATATATGTATGTATATATCAATGTAGGTTTTCTTAATTTTTCAACGATGAGCAATTAATAGAAATAAGATGTTAAGTAAAAATTTCATAAACAACCGATTTAGCAGTTTTTATAGGGTACCGAAAGAAATTTCTTTACTTTCCTGAATTACTCTCATAGAGAGGGTTCCAAATTGCTTGGAACAAACAGATTTTTTTTCGGCCCATGCATCGTGATAAGGCCCAATGTACATACAGAAGCGGCCACCGAAATCCGATTTTGAGATATCATAACCTCAAAGTGTCGAAAGCACATAATTTATTTAGTTAATTTTTTTATCTTTAAATTTCATTTTCGTTTG